GCAATATATTTACGATGCACTGAATTATTTTTCCTGGTTAGATATGTCTTTCGCGTTATGAACGAATATGCATCGCACGTTGTTTGCAATTCCAGTGGTATTAATCGTATCTTTGACAAAGCTAACTTATACTTTGATAAAATTGACTTATTTTCTGGATTAGCGGTGTCACCGAAGCACGTGTTATCGGTAATTCTATTGCAAGTGAAAGTCATCAACATTATTCAATATAATATTACTATTGTACATCGCTCTCTGCAACCTCGCTTCTATTTTACACATTCTTAATTGATTTATATTTATTTGTAATCAAGATGGATGAGGTGGTACTTTACAAAAAATCGACTTTAAAATAATCTACACATTATGGTTGCATGTACTTGAGTATTCTCCCGTAAAATAAATAAATAAGTAAATATTCTGTTTGCTTTAAAATTTAAATGTGATATAGTGTTTGACACAACTTCAGTTTAGTTATCTTAGTTGGCGAATCTGAGGTTAGGCGCCGTCAGACAATACTTGGCAATCCAACAATGAAAAGCAAGACGTTGTGAGGCATACCTAATACTCGCTATAACGTTCGTAGATGTCCATTTGTATGCTGATGGATTAAGTTATCTCGTAGCCTGTAAATCACGTCCGGTATATACTTGTACAAACAAACGTGGGCAGGTTCGGCCGAGTAGTGCAGAATGAGTCCGTGAATAAGGAAACCGATAAAACGTCTTTCCCGAGAACGATTACGGTTTCATTTGATTTTCGAATTTGCACAAGGATTTGCCTGGCTGTGACAACCTTCCAAACACTATCGATTACATACATACATACTTGCAAACTTGAAATCGTCTGACTTTCGATCCGATATTAATTCCCGATAAAATACAAATTTATTTTTCCCAAGGATAGTGGCCCAGAATGTTGATTATTTCGTAAAATAAATGGTAAAACTTGATACGTGACTTTTACACTCTTCTGATATAAATCATTCTATAATATATTTAAGATAAAGTAAACAAAATGATAACAGAGATGAAAAATAATTTATTCAAGACAGAGTTCTAAAAGTTAACAAATTTCATCTTTTTGGCCCGTAAGTCCGACAATTTTTTTCTTACGTACCTACGTGGAATTGGATTCGCTTTATGCCCCGTAACATTTAAGGCCTCCTTTTTAATACCATGACTGCTTGGAAGATTAAAAAAGACGTTGAGAATATTTCAATAAGAAAAGGAATACTTTATCAGGACGTAATAAAATGTTCGGACGTTTCAACATTCGGATAACGTAGATTCTATAATGACTATTTTACCAAATTGTAAGCTTTCTTCTTCATGTATCTTTCTCTTGGTTCGATTCATGTACGTGTTTTTGATTTTCACGACACTTTACAGGTTTGAAGAGCAACCAAAAATACCTTATTAGTTATACATACATATTTTTTTAGATATTCGTATCTATTATCGAACATCATCTTAGTAAACAACGAAGAAAAATTGCAATCGGACCTCATAAAAACTATTAAAACGCAAGTACAGTTTTCTAAAAAGAAGAGTTTTAATTCTACTCTTCTTCTGTTAATAATTCCCCTTTTCTCGAGTTCTTCGGGAACGAAACTGTTGAAAAGGGGGTGAATACGCAACCTTGCCGATTTAGGTACGCAGCGTAACGACAGTCGATGCTGCTATCATCATTATATATGTTTAAAATCGTGATTATTTAACCAGAATTTAAATGATCAACGCTCGCAGCGAAATCTCTCGCGGAAATCGCCCCAATTCTTCTTTCTACTTCATTCTTTCCTAACTTCCTCCCCAAGCCCCGATAAATTTTTTAAAGGAGTCGTTCCACGAGGTAATCTTAAGGAAACGATTCCTTTTTCGCCCATCGTGCATCCGAGCCTCGTAATTCCGTCCGGGACATTTCGTTCTTGCCTGCTCTCCGCCGAGTGTTCTTCGCCCCCTCGAAGCTTTTCCATTCCGCTCGCTCGGTTCCTCCTCTTCTTTCCGCTCGGAGGACACCGTCTCGTTCGCCTGTTCTCACGATCTCTCGTCACCGACCGGGGAGTTTTCCTATTTTCGCGGCGAGAACGTAAGCAATTTTCCCGCAAAGATAGAACGGCCCTGTGGCACCCTCGCGTCGCTTCCCGGTGTGCGTAGACGACGATGAGAGTGAGCGAGTATGATTGATGCGGTTTGTCGTTCTCTCCTGACGCCTAACATCTAGTCCTTCCCGGCAGCTACGCCCCTGACGACGCTTCTTTCGCCTATGCGCGTATCGTGACTGTTCAACGTTTCACGGTGGTTACCACAACCGACAATTTGCAAACAGAGGGTGGGTCTCAGCAGTCTCTAACACCGAAAAAGTCCATCTTCTTCGAGCTTTCGACGCGTCTGACAAATCATTGCATAGTTAATATCGTAAATAAATTGTTACGTGTATTTTTAATAATCGCTCCGCGTAGATCAACTAAATAATTTCGACGATTGAAACGAGCAGTAACGATAATAACAATGAAACTAAGTGGTCACTCGATGTATGATTCGCGCCGTGCGTTTGCCCGAGGAGCACTTTACGTGGAAAATTCTACAGCGACGATAATCTGTACTGAGAATGCAATGAACCGCGAACGTCGTAATCGCTTAAGCTGCGACAAATCGCGCGGATGATTGTCGGTCGTTCGATCCGATGTCGTCACTGGTCCGGTGCCGAAATAGTGCGTATAATTGGCGCTCCTCGGGATTTTCGACAGAAATCTCGCAAGAAAGGTTTTGCAATGAGACGCGGTTATCGTGACGAACGGCCACGCGAAAAAAGAGAGAATCACGTGAACGGCAACGATAACTGCGCAACTCGCTTGAATTCCTTTCCCGAGAAAATCGATGCATTCTTTAAACGCGCGGAATCCTTGAATCGTCGATAATCTCGCTGTGTCCTTTTCTCTCCCGTCGTCTTCGCCGAAAAAGAACAGAAACGCGACGAATTAATGCGGCGTGATCGATGCAACGGCACAGACGCAGTTTGACGCAATGTGCCCGAGAGCTCCTCGATGCGCTTAAGCACCGATGATATACGACGCCTATAAAAATTCTACGCTCCTACGCAGACACTCCGGACGAAAACAAAAACTCGAATTTATGGCCGCTGTTCTTCTTATCGATCGCGAAATCCCGACCCGTAGTTCCATCGAAATTGGTTGATTATCTCGCAGATAGAACGGTTAAACGATTGTAGAAACGCGCGATATTTAGATCGAACGGTTATTGAAGAGTTAAATCACATTTTCGTTGCGCGTTCTTAACAATTCGTGTTTTTCGGATTAAAAGCGACGGCTTCTGATCTTATTGTCAATTGAATTTTAGCTATCGAAAACGTTTGTGTAATTCATGATCCGAAATTGAAGAGAAAATCTGTGCAAGTTTGAGAACATCATTCGATGACGTAAGTAGAAAGATTTCAATTAAAAGACAAAATCTTTATCTTGTTCGAGCCTTGCGTAGACAGAAATTACTTCTATTCTGTACAATTTTGATTTCTATTTTTGCGAAATTTTCACGAGCTCATCCAATGTATTTTATACATTTTGGTTTATGAAAATTCTTATAGAACATCTAAATTTAAACGTATACTTATTCTTTACGTTGTACAATATCTAGTAATTATGTCCATAACGTCAATTTTCATTAGCTTTAAGTTCTGACATCCTGAGAAATAAATTTTCGATCTCATTGTATTGCTCTTGCCAGCAAAATAGTAAAGAATAGTTCATACTATGTTTCTACGTGTGATTCTACATCACCAGAAATTCGAAAATCAGTCTACTATTCTGATCCTCTGTTTTCGACTGGACCTTCCGAAATCTACTTCCACCTAGTATCGTTCGATGTGTATCTCCAGACCCGCGTTACTCGTTTTTCACCGAAGGACCGACTCTCTTCGTGCAAGGGTTCGAGCAAACGGTGTACCTACTCCGTAACGTAGTAGAAACGGAGTGCTCGGTCGGCCATCTACATTTATTTCCGGGGGCGTAGGAGCGTCGGTGCACAAATATCAATCAGTGGAGTCAAGAGTGGAATCAGGGTGGCCGAGTGGTTCCACATAATGCTGCAACCGGAGGTGAGAGAGCGTTGCACACCCGTGTCTCGTGTCCATTCGTCGGTGGCTGTGCAGTTACGACACGCCGGCCCGCGGACGAGGCCACGCTACCCTCCTGCACCCACACGAGACCGGCTGGAAAACGAATAAACACGTTCGTACGCGTACGTGCAGCCCACCCACACATGGAAGCTGTACGGTGTGTGGCCTCGCGGTATCCAAAGCGTGGCTCGGTGTGCGACATCAGTGCCATGGTGAGTGGTTTCGTGGGGGTGGAGTAGGGACGAAGGAGGCGTGACTCGGAGGCGGAGTCTCCATCGAAAATCCCGGCGTGCATCCAACGTCTGTGTGGGTGTTCCTGCTCGCAGTCGTTCTCCTCTCTCTTTCCCGGTCTCCACGAACGCTTCGGGATCGTGTGCGTTCTCCCCCCTCTCTTTCTCTCAGTCTAACTCGCGACTTTCGTCCGTCATCGCATGGGAGTTCCTCCGCTATCAGACACCGTTAACAGCAGTCGGCGTCGAGGCACCCGCTATAACGTCTCTCACATCCCCGGGTGACGGTGCTCGCCGTTCCTGACCTGTCCGGCCGATGGGCCGCCCGGAAATCAGTGTCCTCGACACCCGGAAGCTAACTTCACGCGCTGCGTGCATCGACGGACCGCGATCGGATCGAGAGAATCCGCGCCAGGACCCGAGGATCCTCGGGTGATTCGATACGAGCCGTCGTTTTCATGGACCGAGGAGGAAGTGTCAGTGACGGAGATTAAGACCGCAGACCGTCGCGCATCGTTGGTTTCGTCGCTGTAAAAAAAAGGGTGGAATGGTTTGACTTAACACTGCGGTGGTGCGACACGCTCGTGTACAGTGGGATTGTTCCAAGATACAAAGTGATCGAACTGTCCGAGCACGATGATGGAAGTGCAGCAGCAACACTCGCCGGTCGGGGTGGGTCCCTTGGACTTTTCGCGAAGGGGTGTCGCCGAGGCGTCCGCTTTTCGCGTCGTCAAGCCAAAGCAGACGGCGTCCTCGCTGGTGCATCAGCAGGCGTTGTCGCCGGAAGCGAACAACAACGAGCATCTCCAAGAGAGCCCGCAGATACCCGTCGAGGCTGAAGGTGAGGCTCGTTTCGTTATAAATTCCAGCTAGAACGTGTCGCATCGTCGCGAACGGCAATCAATTCTAAACGCAAATCGTCGTCGATCAAAGATAATGCGCCGTTACGTAATTTATCGCTAAAAATGTCCGTCCATCACGGTCGACGATCAAACGCGTAGCGCGCTCATGCCGCAGAATTACATTTCCCTCGACCGCATCGAACCCGTGCTCCGCTCTCCGATCGTTTCTGCATCCCTCGCGCGGATTCCCGTCAACCCCCTGACATTCATCCCGTTGTCGCCTGTCATCATGCTATCTATTACCTGGCTATTATCCCTTGCACCGCGCCTGCACCGTTCACGCCCTCGATACCTGTGTTCTCCGCGTGTGCACCGACGCGTGTGCGTGCACGCCTGTCAGTCTCCTCCGCTCGTGCACCAATAGGTCCTCGAACACGGGCCACCATTGGTTCTGTGTAGCGATTCGTCGACGCGCACCCACACCACGCGACAACGCCGCGTCGTCGCGGCGTGCGTGTTCCCGTGCGTGTGGGTGCGTGCAGGTGCGTAAAGGGCGCGCAACGACGGTCGTTCAACAGGTGAGAAGGGACGAGTGGCATTAGATGGCTGCCTATACTAATACTGCTAATCGGGCTAATAGCTAACGCAATAATATCAACCCACCAGTGTGTCGACCTGAATCGACCTAAGCGGTTTAAGCGGTAATTGCCAGGTGATGGGCAGGAGAGGGTTCCTTGGGGCGGTGTACTTAGTATCTTGTTTTGAGGCTTGGCTCCGAAGGGTGATACGCGATGATGAAGGTCGAGATACTTCGATCGACGCCTCCAGGTAATTTTCTTTAAATTTTTCTGGAATAAACTCAATTTCTATTGGAATTTATCCCATCGTGTTCAACCAAGACCGCCACTAGCTGTAGCATCTGTCATATGTATATGTATTATGCATATCGTCATCTTCTATCGATCGTTTGTTGTATATATGTTTCATAAAAAAATGAGTTTTATTATCACAACAGAAAGTATTTGTAGTGAAAATATATATAAGTTCGAAGGGATGCAACCGCATTCTTTTAGCAAATAGAAATTAATTTTTCGTTGTAGCGGATCGAGTACTTTCGAATGGTAGTCTCTATGTACTCGTAAAAACAGTTAAGTTAATTCTTCTTAATCTAAAGACTCTATCGGCGTTCACCAACATGGCGCCCAAGAGGCACGTGCTTCTTCTGCCCCTGTCTTTACATACAGTAATTGTTAGGTTTTGCTATATTGTTATTTGTAAGTTTGATGATTAAAAATACATACTGTGGACTCTTTATAACGAGTTTAGTATGAAACATTAATTCAAATTTAAATGTAGCTTTTTCTCGTTGCTTTGCTCCCCAGATAATATCAGAATGTGGCATACGTATCACTTATTTCTTATTTTCAAACATCAATCTGATATAGATAAATATATTTTGGAAACATTTTCCACGGGATGAATGCCATACTTTTATGAATGTTTGATTGATGGGTTCGACGCGTCCCTACGCGTCTCATCACAATTCAATTCCAAACTTGTGGTCCCTAAATTAATACGTTCGATGACATATTATACACGACAGAAAATAGGATTTCTTGCACAATATGAAACGAAAAATGTATTTTTCGTGGTGTTAATAAGTCAAACGATAGATACGATAGAAGACGAGAAGCAATTACTCGATAACAAGATCCTTTGAGCGAAAAATCTCCAATAAATATTGAAACCCGATTACCTATTGAGCAAAGTCTCATTCTAATAAATGCCGCGATTCACTATTTTTAATTTCTACCAGATATCACTTTTTTCCCCCGGCTACCCTTCGAGGTTCTCTGTGTACCTTTGGCAAAGCTGGAGGTTTCCCCAAAGCAGATATCAACAAAGACTCACAGATTCGAGATTCGGCTGGCAAGAATTCACGGGGATTCTAACCGCGTTTCCCGGCAAAATCGTCGACGATTTTCCTCTGGAAATCACGCTATAGGATTTACCGTTTATAGATTTACGACCGGAACGATAGCCGCGAAAGAGACACGCAGGATAAGCGTCGCGCGGACAAACTGCGATATCGTCGATGATCACGGCAACAAACACGCATTACCTGCAGTGTGTACACACGGCCGGGTATCGATGTTGTTATACCTAACCGCGCGGTCATCTTATCTCGGCCGCGTGGTGTGCTCGCTTTATAGGAAAATATGATTTATTTCTGATAATCCTGCGAGAATGAGATAGCCTTTGCGGCGTGGCGCGTTAATCTTCGTCCGCTATCTCAGATTATCCCGGCCGGTCCTATATTGCCCGGATTACGGATTTCATTCCTTCTTTCTTTCCTTTTTTCCCGGTTCTTTTTTTTTCGAAAGTTCTCGATACGCCCGTCGATCTCAATCGTGGCCGCGAAAGCTCGCCGATTTCCGGGAAACCGTCGCGATAACGCTTCGATCAGCTCCACGGGCGATCTGAAAATTATCTTCCCGGTATCGTTTCGTATCGATGGAAATTCAGGTATTCAGGTCGACGCGCGCTTTGATTCGCCGCCATCGGTACCGCGCGTCCGCGAGAAGTTGCCAAACGAAAGGAATTCGGGTCTGATCGGTGCCTGGATCCCCCCCACTCGAGTTTGGAGATCGTCGTCATTGGCCGTAAAGACGAAACAGGGGATTGGTGGAACGAACGAACCACCCCCGCTGGTCAACTTCTCGCGGACGCACAATACGCGAAGTCGCGGGCGCGAACTTCGAATTCCCAGCGCGCTACCGGATGTTGATCAAAGAATCCGAGGAGGACGAATGGCGGGCGTCCGTGGATAGGAATGCAGGCAGAAAAAGAGCGAAGTAATGGCCGGAGCAGGGTTGATAAATAGCGAAGGGTCGCCCTTCTTTCTAATAAAGACGCTCTTGTCGAGGGGTTGATCTCTCCTACGGACCGGGAATACCAAATTTCTCTCAGGGCTTGAGACGTCGGTTCTCCGTTAGCGGCGACGCGGACAATGATGCATGAACGATTCGGAAATATGTTCGATCGTTTCTCTGTTTCCTCCGTATTTACGTCGGTTTCGGGGTTTCACGTTTGATCGAGCCGAAGCCGCGGATCGTTTTATGGCGACTTTATGCTTTTCAGGTGGCTGCAACGTGCGTTTGATGTTCCCCAGACTGTGGGCCCCTTTTGGAAACGCCACCGAGGTCACGAACTTACCGCCTTTGCATAAGAGTCACTCAGGTACGTGAAGAAATTTAATGCAATTAGATTTTGAATGTTCTATTTTTTTCCGCATAGTCTCTGTTTGTTAGGATACGTTTGAGTATACTTTTTTTAAAATAATAAAGGAATTTATCATAACACAAAACTAACGTATTTATACCGGTATACAAATATTGTTTATCTCTTTGTTTTAAACTGACTAATACGATCGATTTCATCTCTTCGATATCCTGAAATTGTCTGCCCTGAACGTTGAATTTCATATGATGTGGAAATTTTATTAAACACAAACTTCATTAGCGAATATTCATCGTTTTCCGTAGGACTGTTCTCCTTAAAATCAATTAAAAGTATGCTCTTGTAATCCCAAGAAATCGTAAGTCATAATTCGATCATCGATTCACCGACTTTGCTTTTCTTGGAGGATTCTTGATAAGTCAACACCATCCCATGGACGCTTATTCCGAATAAAGATCGTAATAAAGGACCAAGATTTCGTCTCTAGTCACTATGGCCTGTAAAATTTTGTTTCCCTGGTTTTCTCAAAGGTTCAGAAACTCTTTAAAGCAGTCGTTGCGTTTTTTTAACGAAACATTCCCAAACATTCTTCATCCTTTGCTCGAGTCTCTTCTATACGTATTTTTTCATCAGCCCTTGCAGTTCACCCTAGTGGTTCAAGCTACTTCCAAATGTCTGACAACATGTCCACGAACGTCACCAATTAGTCAGAACCGTCTGTTCCGAATCCTCGTAGGTCAAACGGAATTCGTTGAAGTTCACGAAAATTAATCTCCCCCTCCGGTCGGTTCTTTGTGCCCGAACCACGGGAAATGAAAAATTTCGACGTCTAATGGTGTTTTAACGCGACAAAAATCCAGTCCGCCTCCGGGCATGGAAAAGGTGTAGATGGACGCGACCTCTCGTCGCGCGCGGCTTCCTCCTCAGCCCGGATGACGAGTAGTTTTTATTTGTCGATCGTTAAGACCGACCGGTCGCCCGATGATTGGGATAAATGGTAGCACGCGTCATACCGTGGAGGGACATCGGCCCTTCTAACTCCTGCCGTCCCAATTGGAGCAGATTAGAGGCGCGGTACAGGGATTCGGAACGTCGGCCCCTTTGTGCTCGTACGACGGTCGGCCTCTTCAGTTCTACCTACCCTGAATTAGTAACATCTTGTCATGTTAAACGCTCGCGCATATACCGTCGTCTTCCGACTCCTTCTGGGTGCACGTGGTCATTCATTTGCAGCCACGTCCACCTATACAGTCGGCTGATCCTAACTCGACGCGGTCTTCCTTGATTCTTGGCGCACGCGATGCCTTTCTGCTCGCTGGCAACATTATTTAATTAACGACGGAACCGCTGAGCTTTTCCGCACGGGCCTACAACGCACACAAAATATAATTTAAAAATTAACTATCAGTTTGGGGCCTAACATTGTGGTCAACGACCTCCCAATAGGAAAATTAGTAACCTCAAATGTTGAAATAGTTTTGAACTGGTAAGATTATTTAATTAACGGTAGAACCGCTGAGCTTTTCAAAACTCGCCAAAATATAATTTAAAAATTAACACTAGTTTGGGACCTAAAGAAATATTCCTTCCCTTCGACGCGAGGCCAGCGTCCCCAAAATGATATTTTCGCGACTTTTACGACACACTTACGATCATGCCCGTTCTTTGGAATTTAAAAACACAATGCTCGTAATAATTAAACAGTCATCCAAACTGATTCTCCGATCGAATCAATCGTAATAAGGCCTGAAGAGTACCTTATCCGTCGAGTTAAGCGTCGAACAAACATATTAATGTTTCACAAATATTAATACCGCCTTCGATCACGATACTCCAATCTGATAAATATTAATCAGCGCATTTGGCGGGCCGGACGGTTATCGATAAATTTGTCCTCAATCACGAAAATTCCATCGGTCTGGACAGGGCTTGATCGATGGCGGACGGTAGGAACGTCGCGTTGTTAACACGATTCGAAGACGAATCTTCCTTGGCAATCTGGTGATCCGTGTTACGATAGTTTCCCTCCGAGTGTGGAGTTTCGATCGATCATCCAGCCTCGCTAACAGAACGGGAATTAGGTTTAAATAGGTAGTGACGCGCGTTTGAGAAATTCGTTTTTGAAAACCCACATCGTCCCGTCGTTTCGATCCATTGACGCCCCGTGGCATTTAGCGGCAGAAGTCGGTGCGTACATGTTTCTTTGCTCGTGATGGCAGGACGGAAGGGGTTTCGAACGGTGAAGCGTGTAACGGCTTTAATAGCGGCAGATCGCTACGCAGTAAACGACTGACGGACGACAGAAGATTAAAGTTGGCCGTTAACTCGATCTAATTGTTCCCCCGGCCTGGCCTTCCTTTATTAATCCACGTCCACAAGCATCTTCGGCATCGCCGTCATTGTCATCCCTTGTCACGAGCCTCCTCCTTGACGTTACTTGCGGATCCATTGTTGCGTCTCTGTAAATTGCCTTGCAACTTCGAGGCAAATCGTTGCTTACAGCGGCTGCACCGCGAAACGAGGCAGCAATTGACTTTCGTCGAACGAATCGTGACACTGAACCGCAGGGCCATTATTACGGCCCTGAAATTTGGCTAGAGTCGCGACGGGAATTCATGAAACTTGAACGTAATGAGAACTGATTCGACGAAACGAGGCCTCGTCTTACTTTTTCGATTCGAGGTCCATACTGGAGTCAAACGTCGTCGTGACTAACATTGATTCTCGATAGAACGATGATATTTACAGATTTTTGGTATCAACTCGTTGAAATGCTTCTAAAAAGAGGGATAAATGTAGTTTCTGATTTTTAAATTTAAAATTTTAAAATTTCAATACCGTAACAAATTCTAATAGGTCAACCGTTTGAAGTAAATAGTTTTGGTAATAGATATAATATTATAATGTGTTTGGAGTGATTATTGGTATATATTCGTTTGGAACTATGACTTCCTAAAATATATCTTAATTCTATAACTTTTTAGTTTAGTTAAATATAAAGATACCTTAACGTAGATTTTTCTTAATGGAGATTGTAGAGTTTTCACTGAATGTATCTTAACATCTGTGTGATTTAATCGAGCAACAGAATGTCAGAAAACATAAGAGATATCTGTGGTCGGTGATGAGATCGATCCAATAACATACTCATTAATATCGATACGTATCAATTCTAAACAATTGCATTGAGATATCGATCAGCCACAGGTGGGAAAAATTCTTATGTAAACGAAAATTTTACTGGTTGAATAAAAATTAGAATTTGAATCGTAGAACGAAATATTCGATCGAATAAGCTACTCCTAATAAAAATATGCTCGTCTGATCAAAATACAGGATACTTCGGTACATGTGATGCAATCGAGCAAGAAAATGTAGAATAAAATTCGTACAATGTTTCGTGTTGGAGATAATCGAATTGGAGAATTTGTTGTTTGCGCTTGCATCGGGTTAACCCCCGTCTTAACGGATTTCATTGTACACGACAACCTAAATAATGCGAATAATACTAATTTATTGCACATTTTAATCATTTTAATAACGATATTTAACGCATGAACAGCCGGGATTAGCCGTCTGTTGCGAAACCTGTCGTCGGGAGTTAGCCAAGTGAACACGACCTTATAAATTTTTAAACTCGATTGCTTTGAAAACAAAGCGTTCTACAAAAAAATGTTGGGCTATACATTTGATTTATTTTTGCATACATTTATCTTTTACCCGGTTGCGCTATCTTTCGAGCCACTTTTTGTAATCGTAAACGTTTCTCGTATTTTCGATACAATTTAATAATCATTACGCTTATCTAGGTCAATACCCCTAAACTCACTGATCTGGAAACACAAAAAAAAAAAGTATTTTGGAGGATTCTGATGTTCTTTCTAAACGCGTCTAATTTATTTTTGACGTGTGTCACCATTCTACCAGTATCTTTTTTTATGCTTTTTTCCCCCTTTCTGACTGTTGCGTATTATAAAAATTCGATCGCCTCCACGGTCTCATAGAATAATAACATCGCGGGTCCCGTTTTCCAGAAATTTTTCCCACCCCCGTCATTTCTTGTCGCCGCAGTTTCGAAATAGAAATGCCACTGGATACGTGAAACGAATCTTCCACGAGGTTCCAGATGTACATAGGTTTCGCGCTTATACACGCGTGCACACGAGTACGCTCGCGTATGCAAGCACTGCCCGAACCCGGACCAAAGTAACCCATCTGCCGGACGGTCGGCACGATGGCGACGGTTTTTCTCGCCGGTTTGCACCGACGGTTTTTACCGCATTCCAGCGGGACCAGACGTGGCATTTGCGTAAGCAGTTCTTCCTATCTCGCTGCGAGTCACATCTGTCCGGACTTCCTCTACCTTTTTCTTTCGCCTTCGGTCCACGGCTTGCATTACCTTTTGCTCTCTCGATTCTACCACCGACAGCCCCCACACCCTTTTTCCCCCCAGTCTCCATCCTCTTCCCGTTTCGCCTCCATCTCTCTCCTACGTTTTCTGAAACTCTCGGATCGTCGATGTCCCCTTTTTACGTATACAGGATGCTCCAAGACCGGCGCAAGAAACGTTAGGGGATGAAAATAAAAAATGACGAAAACGTACAAATAAAACGTCGCGATAAAACGATCTCTCGAACAGATTCTTTTCGTGGAAAAAACGAATGGATTTAAATGAAAATTTATATTTATATTTAGACAAGAAAATGAATTCTCTCGACACCCGTTCTTCGATCCTTTCTCGATAGAAGATATTCCGAACGCACATTTCCGGACGAAAGGATGTTTCCTGAATGGTATACGGAGATATTTTTATAGACATATCGTTGAAACAACGCGTAAACGTTTATATAAAGTACGATAAGTACTACATGACACACGGATGACCTATTCAATTTTCCTTTACTATCAGTGAAAGTAATTTGTGTTTTGCAACTCATTACCGTAATCTTCTTCTAAAGTAGTAAACTGCCGGAGTGGTTTGGGTTAAAGAGTATCAGTTAAGGTACGCCCACATCCATACACCACTCGTAAGACTACTAAGTTCTCTAATTACTTCAGTTTCCGTTGCAATACGATCAATTGATTTTTCACAATCCTAATAAAGCAAAAGAACTATGCACGAGAGCCTAAAAATTTCAAACGTACACCAAATTAAGGCGATTCGATTATCGAACCAATCGTTCTAATACTTCTAATTATTCTCTGAACAAATAGTTTTAAAAAGAAAACAGTAATAGCAGATAAAATCTACATTATATACAATTACGTCGAAAGTAACATCTTAAGATTTTCAATATTCAACGACGCTCTATCGTTTATCGAATCTCGACGAATACAGTTCGAAAGACGTTCGTGCATTTTATCTTTTTTTTTCAACGTGTTCTAGATTTACCGTCCGATGCGTAATTAAGAGTTACCCTCTGCTAGGTCGCAAGTTTTCCCGCCTCTTTTTTTCGTGGAGGTCGCGACAGACTCGCGGATGGTTTCTCATTACATTAGAGCACTCTACCGAGACTCCTGGCGTATTTTGATTCGATTGCAAAGCCACCAGGAGACACGATAATAATCGGCCCAGCCGGCGGGGATCGTGGAGAGCTTTAAATGCGATTAACCGACACCGGTGCATTATGTACCCGGGCACGTGACCGCGTGTCACGCGCACGGATTATAAATATAATATACCGGGTGTAGATCGCGCGTAGTACGAGCATTGGATTGATATCGCCCTTCGAGGGCGCAGGGACAGCCGGACCGTCTCGTTTCTGGCCCCCCTTCTGCTCTCGACCGACGAAATCGCGTCTGACTCTCGCGGACGTCGTAAATCACGACGAGATCGCTCACGATTATTAGAAATACCGCGCATTATTCGCCCGCGTGAACGAGGGGGCGGGAACCGGCCGCTTAGAACTTTGGAAAAAGGGTCCTGGAATTTTGGAAACAGAGAACAGTATTTCCCAAACTTTTACGAGCTGATACTATTATGAAAGTTAAATAAAAAATGTCGCTTTGCTATATTTACATCAATATTTTGGAGTGTTTGAAAATCTGTGATACAGAGTATATTCGACACAATGATGGTAAACATTTTGAACGATAAAAGAATGAACTGTTTGTGCAAACAAACGAAAAATCTTCTCTTAAGCCTCGAAACGGCGACTCGATCGCGAACCGTCTCGTTGGTTAATAAAACTTCGAGACGCCTCTTGCCGATTATCGAGCCCGATGATCGATCGTCGATGTGTTCACGACTATTGTACTGATTTAAATTCTTGCGTCGTTTTATCTGCACTTGGCGTGAAGTGCGATCACGAGTGTTGTTGTGTTTGTAAAAGTTAATCCCGTCGCGTACAGCGATCGATCTTGCTTTCCGTTTCCGTTCTGATTAACTTCTGTGACGAAACTTCGGTATTATGTTTACTCTTGAAAAATTTTGATTCGATAAACGGCAGAGCGTGGATAGGGAATCTTGACATTGGAAGGCCGTACGCCGTATCAGGGAGTTCTCGTAAAATCACAGATATCACGCGTCGCGTTAGTTTTGTTGAAATTATAAAAATATTTATCAAAATATCAATTTATTTTTAGAAACTCGTAGACGTGCGATTTTTTATTCTACCTATCGTTTACAAACTGAATACGAGAATGGACGACACTTGTCTATCAATGTGTTTTTGGACACGGAATAATTAATATTCTTATGGTTAAACCGAGTCATAAAAGAACAGATTTTTTTGGGTCATTTTTACTGCCAGAGTTTAATACGTCTCCCCCAAGGGATACGACCCTCACCAACCATACACCCATGGATAGATTGATAAAAGCAGTTAATTTTAAGTACAATCATTTTTTAATTTTAAAGGATACGTCGTTTGAGAATGTATATTATTAGTATAATTTATATAAGTATCGAGAAACAGTGTTCTCTTCGTCGATCAGTAAGCTTCGATTTTCTCTGATGTCTCGTTAAACCCCGTACCCTTTCTCCGGAACAGGCAAGAAAAAAGGACACTGTACGTGACTCAAATCTCATTCAGTCAGGTTCTTCCACCAGAGGAAACCTAATTTACCTTCCTCGTTGCTTCAGATTCTCCTACATCCTCGCTAAGGTCGCCTTATATTTCACGTGTCCTACGTACGTGACGTCGCTTTCACTTTGTCGCTTTTCAACCCTGCCCTCTGATTGGTACACCATGCAACTTCCTACTACGATTTTTTTGTCGTTGTTCGAAAACACCGGCGTAATCGCAAAAAAAGGAGACCGACAATGGACAAAATTCTATTGTTATTCCAGGACAGAAAATTAAAAACTTTGTACAGGTTTCACCATCTTCCTTCAGAAGCCTTTCATTTGATGATCCTTAACAATCTCACTTCAATCAACAAATTGCTACTCTTGAATTTCGTCTTATTTCGGCCTCTAGAATCTCCCATTAAAATTGTTCACTATCTTCAGGGTTATAATACACTTACTATCTCCCATTAAAATAGTTAAAGCTACGCGCCAAAAAAGTATCGTGCCCCATTTGTCTCTGCCAATTTAAGTTGAAGTTGATACGGATCGTCGAATAGATACCAGACAAATTTTATTGCGTTCCACGAAGACACCCAAGCGAGACAAGGTAAAATTTTTCTTTCAGAACGACTGTCCTTCGGGGTGGGTCGCCTGGTGGGATCTCCGGCAACGAGTCCCTCTCCGTCTCACTCCCCCTGTCCGGACTCGCCGCCGTCGGATCGACGAGACGCGGAGGTCGACGTCGACGTCGACGAGGAGGAAGTGGACGTGGACGTCGAGGAAGTCGAGGACGATCGCGACGCCGCCTCGAGTCCACCCCGGTCCTCGACAACGCCCTCACCGACGAGCATCGCGACGTCGCCTGCTTCGAACCCGCCCAAGAAGTCTGGCGACACGTTCAGCGTTTCCGCCCTGCTCAGGCCGGATCCGCCATCCGCGCACATGCAGAATGCCTCTCCGCATCGCGATACGGCGTCGATCGGCGGACATCCGCCGCCGCCCGGATCCACGATGCTCTATCCGCCCCTTCATCTTCAGGGTGGACTGCTGCCACCTCATCCCCATCATCCCCTATCGTACCTGCACCCTCAGTTGCTGCCTCATCATTTGTTACCCCCGCACCTGCACCCGTTGTTGCGCGGCGTTCATCCGGGTCACCCTGGCCTGCACTCGACTCACACGGCCCACGGGCTCCATCACCCTCATCCTCTCGGCGACGTCTACAGCTGCGTCAAGTGCGACAAGATGTTCAGCACGCCTCACGGTCTCGAGGTAGGTCTCCGGCGACGAGAATTTTTCCGCAGACAGAGCAATTTGTTGATTTATCGAACGTGCGCGGAATTCGACGGTACCCGGTGAAATTATTGATTGGGCTTAACACGTCAAGAAATTTCCGGTTTACTTTTATTCGGGGTTGGCTGGAGAAATTCCTCCCGTCCATTTACTGTGCCCTGATCGTATGGAAATCTGTTAGATCGAGACTCACTTAGTATTATTCGATATAACACAGGGGAAGCGTTACTTTATAGTATTTCTATTTCATCGGTTTTTGCGTTTCTACTACTTTGACTTTTATGTTTATCACAACAATGTTAAAACACTTTAAAAAGTATGATCCATATCCAATGTTCTTTAAACGGCTCCCTATGCAAACGATCGGCGTAAATGCAATTTTCGTAACTGAAATTGATTTAGATGTTTCACGAGGGGTGTGATTTTTCCAGGTGCACGCAAGGAGGTCTCACAATGGCAAGCGGCCGTTCGCCTGCGAGCTCTGCAATAAAACCTTCGGCCACGAGATCAGCCTAACGCAACACAGAGCCGTGCATTCCGCGGAGAAGGTGTTCGAGTGCAAGCAGTGCGGTAAAGCGTTCAAGCGTTCTAGCACTCTGAGCACGCATCTCTTAATCCACTCGGACACGAGGCCGTATCCCTGCCAGTTTTGTGGAAAGAGATTCCACCAGAAGAGCGACATGAAGAAGCACACCTACATACACACCGGTGAGCGATAATCCCCTAACATTTTAATCTTTATCCTTTTAAAAAATTCAGGTATTAGGTTAAAAGCTATATAAACTACGTTTTTTAAAAACAATGCACATCATCGCACCTCTTATAAGCTTTGGTTCATTCGATCCCAACCGAACGTAAAGGGGTTAGAAGTTTAATGCTTCAGAGAAAATTTCACTACAGAATCTTAATCGCGACGATTTCATCTAGAAAGCTCTTTGCATTCGCAGTGTCCGTGAAATCAAGTTCGTTAACCTTCGGCGTCCGCAATCGTGGAATTTCGTGATTCTCGTTCGCGTTTATGGGAGCGGGGATGCCGCGGATCAATTAGAGCAGAGCAACTTTGTACGATAAATAATGCAGTTAACCGTCTGGACGGAGTCTTGCCGTAAGCAAGAGGATCGAGCCGGATCGTGGCACATGTGGCCAGTGCATTTTAGGGTGCCGAGCCCCTCATTGCTAGCTTCACTCGGTAATAATCGTAATGTCTTTCGGGGTGGGCATCGTTCTGTCTTCCTCCATCGTGCAACTCTCTCGTTCCTGGCTCTCACGACGCGGAGTGACACAGTAAACCCCCCAATCTTCGAATGAAACTTTTCTATGACGAAAATTGTCCGTGGGAAACGTGGACAGGCACCTCTGCCTCCCCCAGAAATAACTATCGCGAATATAGGCTTCTACTTTCGCCAAACGTATCTCGGATTACCGTGAACTCCCTCGAATATACTAAATCATCAACGAACACATTTTGCAAAGCACATACGTACGTAGAACACATACTTACACCTTAGAAAAAATAATTTACGTTTAGATTTCTTCTATCGATGTTGTCAATCAAAGGTTGATGGAAATCTGAATATTTTTTCTGTGAAGAGAAGAATTTTTCAATTTTGAAAAATTGATTTCCATGAAAACGAGACACCCAGCGGTTGTTACGTTTATTTATATGCATACGACTGTTACTATTCTCAACAAAATCATGAAATTACGAAAAAATTTTCAAACGATTGATATTGCAAAATGTTCGCCATCGATGAGTTATTTTGCAAATTTAGAAGGATTTCCAATTTCCATCGAACATTTATCGCCACCGTGCATGACGGATTTCGCAATTCGTCGGGCGTCGTGACTATAGTTCGACAGTTTCTATCCCTGTCCGAAGTCGAAGATCAGCGGGAGGTAGAATCCCTTAGGTGGGCCGTGGATGAGCGTGGCGACGGTGTTGGGACACTTGACACTTAGGCGTCTTGGGGCTGATGGAGCGACGGTCCTGAAGGAGTAGGTTCTTCGAGGGTGAAAGCGAGCGAGAGGACCAAGGCGAAGGAGGTTGCGGGTGTGCTCCAGTCAGGGGTCTGGGTTTTGTATCGTTTCCATGGCAACCCTCCCGATGTCTTATCAAATTATCACCTTGTCCTCCCCCATGCTCCTCCTCCTCACGATGTTCCTCGCTCTGACTGCCATTCGACCTCCCCTCGTTCATCCTCCTCTGAAACAACCGAAGGAGGACCCGGCGAAAGAGGATACAAAGCGATGGTCACTTCCGTTAGGCTTCTAACAACCTATGGGACCTCTGTGCGTTGTCTACGCGCCTTTGTCCACCTTCACGCACCGGTCTGTCGAGGGTCGCCACGGAACATTTAATTTATTATTCAGGGGGATGAAAAATTCAGGCTGCTGGAAAGAGTCCGGTGTACCTACCGTTCGCTATTTCCTCGCGGCAATTTTACCCGCGAAACGAGGATGCCTCGTCTGTTTCTCGCTCCCTCTTTTCTTTCAATGCTTACTCGTCTCTTTGATTTCCCTGGGAAGTATCTCACTATCCCCCCCTTTTAAACGTGTAGTCATCGGAATCGTCGGAACTAAAGCTTTTTTAATTTTACGATACTTTCTCAAGTGAATAAAGTTACTCCCACTTGTATTTCACAGCTCTACAAACTTAATGTTTCAAAATGTTTTAAAACAGTCCAAAAGAATAGAATTTAGAATCGACGTCAATTGTTCTTCAACCTGTGTCAGCGAGTGGTTCAGAAAACCACCCCTACCGACGAATCTTCTCCTTTTCGAAACCTCTGCTTCTCGACGTCCGCGCGACCGTTAACCATTTCAATTAAAATCCTCGATCATTGACCTTATCTCCACCCTGGCCCCTCTCCCCTTGCCCCCTCTCCCAAGTAAAACGAAACGAAATCCCTTACCGCCACGATCTCGAGGTGGCGTGCGTACGTGCGTCAAGCAGTAAACCGAGGGTGTTCTGGGACTCTGTCTGCTAATGATAATCAGTCCTCTCTTTCCAGCCAACCCTCCCCCCTCTCCCCGTACGCAGTCCATATTCCCTTCGTCGTGAGCACGGGCCATGTGCAATAAGGGTGCGGCACCGTCGGATTCCCCGGGGACCGGCATGGCGTAACGTAAAATCATTATTAGGTAGGTAGGTAGGTGGTTGCTGGTGCACACGAGGGGTGGCGAGAGAAACGGAGCGACCAGGGGCCAGGGGGGATGGTTGAAGCGGCGCTCACGGGGTCGGGAAGTACGGGAATAAGAGCTCTGCAAATATTATTCGTGCGCGAGCCAGCAGCCGGAATAGCTACGAGGGGTCGAAGCGTTACTTCGCGTTACCTTCGCTGTTAGGTGCGCCTTTTGGGGGAGAGGGTGCGTTCTCTGGGCCACCGGGTGGCTGCCACGAGTCAAGTGCAACGCGGGCTTTCGAGGGGGAGGGGGGAGGGGTGGGGTGGCTGCAAGGGGTTGACGGGTTCGGTTGACGCACCGGACCAACGACGACAGACCGACAAGTGGCACGTCCTCCCGATGAGAAAACATCGAACTTATCTGTTTCCGATGATCCTCCGCCACCCCCCGCCCCGGAGCCCGAGAAAATATTACTCTTTGAAGTTCGTGCCGAGTGGCAGGACAAATGGACGTGATGATTTTGAGCGGACGATGAATTTCCTCGACGTGGGAGCTGAAAACTCTGCGACAATTAAAGGGGTAAAAATCAAATATATAGGATCCAATGGTCTTCCCGTTGAAAGAAACGGTTAAAACGCACGGAAAATTCGAATTATCGTATCGTGGGTCGACAACCTTCGACAGGGGTCAGTGGCCACGTCAAACGTTCGATTATCTCGAAAAGTTTGCTTCCCCAAAAGAAGCGGGGAGCAATGAAAGGCTCAATAAAAATTTTACTTATATATGTTTCCAGTGAAAAATTTATTCCATTCCCAATAATTTCATTTGTATTTATTTTTCTGTTTACTGGTTGAAACAATCACTGAAACTTTTGCAATAGGATGGATAAAGTGGTTTTATAGAAGATCACATTCTATCATTATTGGATATCATAAGTTTTTTTCGCAATTTTCGCAATAAATTGGGTATGATTTTTCATTTAGAAACTGTGGATGAACTATAGATTATATTCGGACGCGTTCAACTAGTCGCAACGTTCGTAATCACCGATCTGTGATTACAAGAAAATGTTATCGATCAAAAGCTGCGTCTTTCTGTCACCGGGACAATCGAGTCGCTGGTTGCACGCGTCCTTAAACACACATGCTTGCGACGCGATCGAACGCACAGCAGCGGCCACCGTGTTTTCACAATAAACACAACCTGTCCACCGTCGTGCAAAGTAAAGTCTACAGGGGCGAAGATCGCGAGGGTTGCAATCGGTTCCGCGTACTTCTCGATCTGATCGCACAGACGGGAGTATATAAGCACGATGTTTATGTTCCTAGAGATGCTGGGCGCTTCACTCGCAAAGAGACGGCCCTCCTTTTTAGTGATTCAATCACGCTCGTCGTAAATCGTCATCGATTCGCTCTTACGCGAGTTCCCGGGATGTTCGTACAACGTTCTAACGTTTTATTTCAATCAACTCGAGAACTCGGTCGGCCGGGAAACGTTGCAATAGTCGATGCAACGATCGTGGATCACGAACGAAGTTTCGTAATCCTCGTCGTCGTGTTTTCGAGTTTCAGTAATCACTGACGGATACGTTAATCCTTCTACTAGTATTTATCCAGACTGATCAGTGAACAAATTTTTTTTTATTTAAAAAGAAAGAATGAAAATGGACGAAATGGTTGGGAAATGTTATTTTCACGATTTAAGGGGGAATCTTCTTTTAAGTCGTCGTTAAACGGGCAATTGATATAATCGTTATATCAATAAATAACTGTACAACAATTACCTTTCCACATTGAAATTACAAAATGTCGGATAACGACGATGTCTTTTTCACTTGAAAATTTTAAGTTGTAACAATTATATCTAGAAATTCCAAATGCGACAATTTCCACGAACGTACGATGAAAACGATCGAAGCGTCTGGTACTGGTCGTCGACAGCCACCGATCCCGATAGATTTCTTGGCTCTTGGTTGAGGGGAACGATAAATTCTGGAGAACACGAAACGCCTGCCGGTTTGCGGTCGAAAGGGACAGCTCTATAAACACGAAAGAGATACGAACGCGTTCCGTCCGCGTATTATGAATTTAGCGGTGGCTCTAATGTAGGGATACCTGGCCGAACGTCTCCCTCAAACTCACCTCGAGGGTGCGGTTATCGTATACCCGGCGAGATACAACCGTGCAACCTATACAGCCACCTTTGTGGCCGCGTTCGCCGTACACGCCTGCGGACTCTATCTCCGTCTGTCCCCCGTTCGTCCCTCTCCTTTTGTATGTAGACGAGACGGGGCTATTAGAGGTTTCCGGCTGACTTGGCGCCCCCAAGCATCGGGGGTGCCGCAACATCCCTCTAAGCTGTTTAAACTTCGCGACATGCTCCGAGGACCGCCCTCGGCCCCCTCACCTTTACTCTCCTATCTTTCATCCCGCTTTCGTCTTTACGGCTCGTTAGCGACGCCGACGCATCCCTCCCGGTGGCGAAATAATGGTACACGTGCTGCACCGGCCGCGAGATTTTTGTCCAACCGACCACCATCGACGTACGAACGGTTCTACTTGGTAAACGTTCTGCCTCGAATAGTA